CAACAGATTTGACAATAAAAATAGGTGCTATAACAACCATTGTCAATTTGCTGTTCTTGATTTGAAAATCTGTAACATATGTATTATTGCATGTTACCCTGTTTCTGTCCTTGCATCTGCTATTTTGATTTTGCTTCTGCTTTTACTCTTCAAATTAAAATAAAAAATATTTTTAAATATAAAACCTGCAGAGCAAGAGGGGTTGTGAACCAGCTCTGGAAGCTCCGAGCAAGCCACTGGCGAGAGTCCACATGGAAAGGCTGAAGAACCTAGAGTCCAGTGCCCACAGATGATGGCAGGAGCCCAAGATGAGCCTGCTCACAAGAACAGAGCCTCTAGAACACAAGCCTCCTTCTTCCCCTTTCAGTCCTCCAGACTGCAAGCCGACTGGCTGGGGCCATCCAAGATCAGGCTGGCCTTCCTTCCTTGGTTTGCTGGTCTACGTGTCAATCACCCACAGACACACTCAGAAGTATGCTTCACTAATCTATGAGCCATTTCTTAATTTGGTCAAGGTGACAATTGTAATTAAGGGTCACACTGACTCTGACACCTGGAGCAAAATACTCAAACAAGGTCTTCTCTGGTCCCCCTCAGCCAGAAGGTAAGCTAGTGTCTTTCCACTCTAAGCATGCTGGGTTATGTTCAACTTCAGGACTAAAGCGGGGTCTTTAGTTTCTCATGTGGCCAGAATCTGCCAGTGCCAGGGAGCTGAAAGCCTGAGTTAGTGGAACCTACACACACACACACACACACACACACACACACACACACACCCCTGTCCTCCTGTGACAATGACCTGGCCCAGCTCCTTCCACCAGTTCTAAGGGATCTTGTTTTCAGCATTCTTTGCCTCCAGAGCAACTTCAGGTGCTCTCTGGGAGGCACCAGCATGGTGGGGTCCTGCCTCTAAGCTTCCCAGTATTAATGTGCCCACCCTCTTCCCTTTGTTCCCCAGCTATGGTTTGTATCTAGATGTCTCCCAAGAACCCCATGTGCTCAGAGGCAGAGTTTTGGGAAGCTGATTGAATCATGGGGCTTATTGCTGACTTGTGTCCAGAGGGCGGTCTGATGAGGTGGGTCACTGGGAACACACCCTAGAGAGTGTACTATCTCCCTTCTCTCTGCTTCCTGGAGGCCATGAGAGTGGTTTCCCCCTGCCAGGCCCTCCCACCACACCACTTCTGCCCAAAGCCATGCGTGGCCAAGACCCCTCTTACAATGGTATCATGCTCTGACAGCACCTGGGAATGGGGAAGAAGAGACAAGTACTCATAGTAGTGAGTTCAGACACAAGTCTCCCACTCACTGCATACACATGTGTTGGAGAGGTGGGTCCATCCATAAAGCAAAGATACTTGTCTTTGAAACCTTTCCTTTGGAAATCCTGGGTAGACCCAGCATCCACATGAAACGCAGAAGAAAAACAGATGACAGATACAAGATGCACTGGATGTTGACTATCTCAAAGCACACTGCTAGCTAGGGATTTGTGGCTATCTTGGGGTCTGCATCAGCCAGCTGGAGGGCTTTGTTCCAAATGCATGCCCTTTCCAGCCTGGTTTCCTTGGCAGTCAAAAGAATGGGTAACTGAAAGCCCTGTTCACAGCTTCATGAATGAAAGGACATGTATTTTAGGAGAGCTTCGGGCTGGCACACAATCACACTGATAAACTGTTTTCAGAGCCAGAGGTAGTGAGTTTCAAGAAAGCAGTGACATTTAAACACAAAGAGCTTCAAGGCCACCCTTGCACAGCCACGCTCCCTGCCACCTCCTCAAGGTCCCTGAACACAGGTGAAGGGAAAACTTACCTAGAACATCTCTAAGACCATGGAAATTTAGGTTCCCCTTTGACTGATCCTTTGATTCTTCACCAGGCAAATGTTGGCTGCATTTTTGCTGTCTCCAAGGACATGACCAAGAAGTACAAGATGGACCCTTGGGGTTTACTCTCAAGGAGTTCACAGCCTTATGAGGAAGTAGGTGATTCTATTCAATCTCGTAATAGGGTGGGCCCCCAGCACACAACTGGAGGATTAGTCATTACAGTGTATACGTAAATCAAGTTCCATGAGAAATAAGCCATCTTCAATTTTTGTCTGTCATGTATCCCTTCCATCATAAAGTATCCTAATTGTCTACTGGACAAATGTCATAATGAATGGCACCACTGGTCCTGTGTTTTGATGGAAGGGTAGGACTAAGACCCCCTCAGATGGGCAAGGAGGGTACTACAGACTGGCGCAGGATGGGAGTGGGTGGAGCTGGAGAAGGAAATGGCAGGAGCCAAGGTACAGAGAGAGTAAAGCCCAGGCATGCTGGGGAACTGCAGGTCCATTGTGCTTAAACTACATGTGATATGAGCAGGATGTAAAAGGCCTGGAAAGGTTAGCCAGGCCAGATACTGAAGAGTTCTGATAGTAAGCTATGCAACAGGGACTGGGCCTATCTACAGGAGGATGACCTCCCATTCCGGTTTGCTGGAGTGGTGCTGCCAATTGTCGTAGGGTAATAATTAATAGCACCCTCTTGCATCCTCAAGAATCTCATTTAACAATTGAATTACATGGCTCTGCAATCTTAAAGGCAATGGCAAGCCCCTGACATTTCCATAGGAGACAAGGGCTGGCCTTGGGGAGGTCCACGCCCGCAGTGCACAGTCAGCTCACAGACAGAAGATAAGGTGTCCCTTGGGCTGGGGAATCCAGGACCAGGCTGGTTTGCTAACTGCAAATCCTCAGCATGGCCAGAGGAGAAGGGAACACACTAAATGCAAGTTTGGTCCAGCCTCTCTGGAAACCAAGAGCCTCAAAAAGTGTCTAAGTCATTTAGCCCGATTAAGTCTTTAATTTAGTCAATTAAGTCATTAATTCCACTTCTGGAAATCTCTCCTAAGGAAATCATTCCAAATGTACTATTATATGTAATGCATCTAGAAACCCCTGACATGGTACAACAGACAATGAAGAAGGACACAAGATCTACTTAGCCAATGCTTCATGAAGTAGGGACAATGTCTAATGTATTGACTATTATATTTCAGCGGCTAACATAGTGTCTGATACATTCATTCAATAAAATTAATAAATGAATGAAAATTCTTACAAAGTAAAACAAAAAAGATATAAAATAATCTCTAGTTAGATAATAAGTACCAGTATACACACAGTGTGAACTCAACCATTTTTAAAAGGCATGTGCATACATGATTACACTTACACAAGCTAAACAAAAAACAATTTCCAAAATATAAACAGTGGTTATCTCCAAATGGTGAATTCCAAGATAAGAGAAGTAAGTGATTTCCTTTTTATTTTCACTTTATTTTTGTATATATTGCATTTTTAAGGACTAACATGATTCAATTTTATGACAAGAAAAACAAGTCAGCATCATTTCTTTAAAACAGAAGGGCTAGAGACAGGCAGGATGCAAGTCTTCCCAGCAGGAATCAAGAAGGGCTTGCCCTCCAGGCATTCCCAAGCAGTCTCCATAGCGGTGAGCTCCAATCCCCACCTCCTGTTCTCCGGGAAGGTGGTTGCCTCCCACAGCAGCTGGCGCAGGGCTGATTTTCTGGGCAAGAGATATGGACCCAGCTGAGCAGTGCCAGCTTTCTCTGGAGTGGATCTTAAACTCTTAAGCAACTACCAAAAGTTACACCCAGCAAGATGGAAATCTGGAAACAGTTTGAAGTGGAACAAAGCAGAATACCAAAGGGCATGTTCCCTAGGAATAGAACTTGGTGAGCTACACGCTTGGCAAGTATCTACTGAAGGAATGCTTCCCAAGATGTGCACCCCACACAGCCAAAGATGAGACAGCCAACCAAACCTGGGTATCCCTTTGTGGCAAGGACAACTGTAAAGCCATGTGCTAGAACAACCAGGCAACAGCTCACTGATAGCTGCAGGGTGGTGTCATAGCTCCAGGCAATCTTTTTCCTAGAGCATCACTTCCTGACTTTGATATCCATGCAATCAGCCGGGGAGCTTGATAAAAGGGGCACCTTGATTCAGTAGGTCTGGAATGGCATGAGTCCACATGACTCCCAGGCCCTGGGTGATGCCGGGGCTGCTGGTATTCTGACCATATTTTGAGTAGCAAGTTGCTGGGATGCTGGTAACCCAGCTACCCCAATGGTCATTAGGAACCAGGAGCAGGACCGGTCACCCAGGTGGACTACATCAACCTAAGCACGGGGAGGGGAGCATGGGAGAGCTCAGTGAGGCTTCTACCCACTGCCCTAATTCCCTGTGCCAAGCACCCTCACAGACACCCAGGCAGGACCTCTTGTCCTTGAGCCCACTGGCATCTGAAAGCCTCCTTATCCCCAAGCAACTTGGCACCACTAAAACTAATAATGAGCAGCAAGATCCAGCACTTGCATTGGATCTCAAGGGGCCTTAGGCCCCAATTCTTTAGGGAGCTTGGACACTGTACATCTTGCTGGCATGGGTCCCAGAGTCTGGGCTTTGCTTGTTAGCACATAGTCACCTAGGACAGTTGGCAACAGACTGCACCAGAGGACAAACCAACACTGTGTCTAAGAGTCGTGTTGAGATCCAGGATAAAAGTGAAGAAAAGAACTGACTGCAGATGTAACCAAAAACTGGCATGAAACAAGCAGCTCCTGGAAGTCAGCATGGGGGTCCCAGTGTCACCTGCCCAGGATTTTAGTTAGGGGCAAGCTGTACCGCTCCCTCAGGTGAGGCTGTTCTGTCAGCTGCTGCCTGACCCTTTCCCTTCCTTCCGTGTAGGCCCAGTGCTGGTGGCCTCACAGGGATGCCCTAGGGGCTCAGTACCTGAATGCCCTGCCCCAGGGACCACAGTGCACCCATCCAAGGTCCACTCCATGGGATGCTGAGTTCAGCAGATAGAGCCAGGTGGGACATCCCAACGGAGTGAGCTGGCATTTCCTTCTCTGTGAGGACAGGTGTGAGGTCCATACACAGTGACACTTTGGAGACCAGGGCCAGCAAGAGATTATGGAGCCCAAGATAGTAGTGAGAGGCACCTTGACCTTAGATTCATGACAGCAAGCTTTTCTCATGCTCTTTCCCTGTGCTAAAGCCAGTGCTAGCTAAGAAGGACATGATCCCTGTAACATTAAAGATGTCACTCTCAAGGCATTCACTATGTCTTCAAGGACAGGTTGATAGCCATACAAGGTGGCAGACACAAAGTGGGGTGAGATGTGAGCTATGGGCCCCCATCGCAGGGCCTGAGGACCCATGACTACAGATCCATCCTCTCCACTGGAAGCCCACTGCCCTGCGTGCACGGATTCCTCCCTCTTAGGAAATGCGGCCAGAGCTCTGGCTCCAAGTGCCCCTTCCCTCACCCACAGCAACCTCAAGGTCTCACTGGTAAGGGCCACGTCCCTGGCTTCCCAACCAGGCATCTGCCACCAACTTCCCCGCATGAACCCTGACTGTGCCAGGCAGGCATCTCCAGCCCTGGCAATCTGCGGCTCTAGCTGCCACATTCACCATGACCTACAGAATCTGGATCCCAAATTCTCCAAGGAACAAGAAGCTGAACCATGGGATCTCAGAATTCACATATGGAGGATGCAAAAACAGGCTCTTTCTGGACCCCAAAAGTCAGGAAATCTGGAGCACTGTCCCCAGTTTGCAGTGTCTCCACTGGGTTAAGGGACAAGTCCTGGCAAGTGATGGGACAGTGATGAGCCTTAGAGCTGGCTAAATGGGGTTGGACCTGCCACTTAATCTCAGAGACCCTTTGGAGATTTCTGTGTGCACAGTGGACAGGGGCAGGTGCTCAGACTCCTCCAGCGGTGGGCTCTGCTGGCAGGTCAGCACCAGGGCCTTGACCTCCTTCTTGAAGTTGGTGTTGAGAAAGCCATAGATGAAGGGGTTGACACAGGTGGAGGCCATGGCAAGTAGGTGGCACACCAGGAAGATGAGGTTGCCGTGGCAGACAGGGATGGCCTCATGGTGCCAGTCCTCCAGAGTGTTGAACACATGCAGGGGCAGCCAGAGCACTGCAAAGGCACCCACCATCGCCGCGAGTACCCCGTTGATCCTCTTCATCTGCCCAGCTCTTGAGTTCCTGCAGAACACGCGCCCTTGTCTCCGTAGGCGCTGGGAGATGCGCACATAGCAGATGAGGATAAAGGCCAGTGGGATGCAGTACTGGAAGAGCAGCAGGAAGGTGGTATAGATGACACGATGGTGATCCACAGGCCAGGACTCCTTGCAGGCCACCTTGTCCTCCAGAAATGCCAGAGCCTTGGAGTGGTTCTTGTGAAAGATGTTCTCCAGGATGCTGTTGGCCAGGAAGGGCAAGGAGAGGATGCAGGCCATGAGCCAAATGATCACAATACCCAGGTAGGCCTGGGGGATGCTGGGCTTCCAGCCAGTAGGGTTAATAATAAGCTGGTGCCTCTCCAGGGCCACGAGGACAAGTGAGAGGATGGAGACCGTCACTGACATGCACTGGATGAAGGCTGACATCTTGCAAAGCACCTCACCAAAGATCCAGTAGTCCATGATGGTATAGATGACCGTGAGGGGCTGGCAGATGAGACACATGAGGAAGTCAGAGAAGGCCAGGTTGGCAATGAGCAGGCTGGTCACATTGGCCTTCTCCTTCTGCCTCAGGGTCACACAGATCAGGCAGAGGTTCCCCAGGACCCCCACAATGGTCTCGATGCTGTATGAGGTGACGATAAAGCCCATGAGGTCCCCTGAATCCTGACAGTGGTCAGAGAAGTTGAATAGGATGCCCTGGGGCTTGCTGCTATTTTCCCCCTGGGAGGACCTCGGGAACAGTGAGACCAGGAAGGGAGAGGTATCCATGGTGGCAGTGGGAAGCTTCCGGAAGCTCTCAAACTAAGGACCCATTTCAGAGGTGACACCTGCAACACAAACAGACCAGTGGGACTCAGGATCCTCATGCACCCAGGTTGGAGTCAGGAAGGACCAGGGTCAGGGACAGAATTCTTTACTTGTTTCCCAAAAACTCCACCTGGGGGCAACTGGAGCTGCCACCTAAGACTCAGGGTCAGAAACTGGCGTCCAATAATCACTACCTACAGGAAGCATTTGCTGCACACCGGAGCTGTGCTTGGCACTTCACAGATTGTAACTGCCTTACTCTGGGAGCTGGTGTCACGAGCCCACTTCCTTAAAGAGGAATCGAAGACTCAGAGGAATGAAGCAACTTGCCTACTGTCACACAGACAAAAAGTAACAGGGCTCAGATACAAGCTAAGATCTGTTTGGTGCCAAATCTTGTTCCACAGATTTCCTCTGACCTCAGGACTCCAAGCTGTTATGATGATAAAAAAAAAAAAAATGAAGCATTATAGGCAGAATTATTCCCTGCAGGGTAGAAAGTCCTTCGTCACATTTTATCCAAACAGACAGAGCAAGAAACTCTACTCTGCAGAGACTGTGAGTCTTCCAGGCATCCATGGAACACAAGATTTGGGGCTGGACACACTGGGCACGCCCTGGCCTTGGCCCTACCTCTCCTTGCTTCTCAGGCAGCCTAGAGCAAAGGCAAGAACTGATAAGACTGGCACATAGCCACACCAGCTTCTTCCTGCTGCCCAAGTGTGCACATATGGCTGGCCAAAGACAGGGGACACCACCACCCTCTATGGAGTTACCTCAGCTCAGGTCACGGGATGCAAGCCCACACCACACTTTCCAGGTCTCCATGTCCAGGTACAGGCTGTCCCTTCCCCTGGGGTCCCTCAGCATGAGGATCCTCTGCCAAGACTGAATAGAATTGGGACTCCAGAAGCCTGGACTGAATAACAATGATGGATATTTAACAAGGAGAGACTCCTGCCACTGCCACACCCCTAAGACACACCACACTGGCCCTCCAGTCGCAGTTCTCAGCCTGCAGTCAAGATCAGCATTTTCCCAGGAGTATGATGAAGGGCAGGTTCCAGGCCCCTGGAAGTCAATGAGTCCTGGATGTGTCTTAGCAGGTGGCCTTGGCAGGTGGGTTCTGATGCACACAGCTGGGGCCCTTATTTCGAGAAGCACCCTGCACAGCAGAGTACCCTATTTAAGATACTGTTCAATTCCATACAAGAGCCACACCTGCTCCTCTTCATGGTCAAGTGCCACACTACACACAGCTTTTACAGAGTAAGGCCAAAAGAACCAGAGATCAGTAAATCTATGCATAAGCTGTCATAAACATCACTCACTGAACATCTGACATACAGAGCTGGGTCTTAAATTTGTCTGGCAGTTTAGAGCTTGATTATTTAGGCTGCCAGATCTCAAGAGTCAGAAAAGTTTCACCAGCATCACAACCTTCTGACAAAGAAAAAAAAGTTTATGTGGGGCCACATGTGACAAAATGAAATACACCAAGCCAGACACAAGGTCCAGGGTTGAGGCAAACAGCGAGCAGAGATGCCTGAGCCTACAGCAGACACAGGGTCTCAGATGTGACAAACAGGACAGAGAGTGGAAGCTGCGGCTGACCCCCAGCTGGTCATTCCACACCAGTAACCACATGCTGGTCAGAGGGGGCACCGGGCAAGGAGATGCCCCAAATAGTGCTTTGTCCAGCTATCCGTTCACACAGGTGCCACACCCTCAACTACAGGCAAGGGTTGCAGAGGTGACTGTTACAGCACTGGGCCTACCCAACAAGAGAAACTGACCACAGGCCACACAGCTGGTCTCCAAGGCCACAATGCGTGGCCCAAACCACGGTGACTGGAGACATCAGAGAGGGAGCAGAGTGGGTTTCGAGGGGAGAGGTGACACTGGTGTGGGACCCAAAGGCTGATGAGTGACAGAGAAGAGGAGGGAGTTCAAGGCACAGGGGACATTATGTGCACAGGAACAGACCCAGAGGCAGGAAAGGGAGGAGCCTACTGGGGAGCAGCGGGGCAGAAGGGCTGATGTGAGGCTGAAGAGGCAGCCGGACAACACTAGGAGACACTGAACTCTGCCCACCAGCCGGGTCTGTTCCAAAACAAACCCTTTGGCTCTGGCATCAGGGGCGCAAGGAGGGATGAGGCCAAGACAAGATGGGAACAGAGAAGGCAGTGCCAGCTCAGCCTGGCCTGTGCTCTGCCTCAGAAGCTGATAGGCAGTGCCAAGTGGATTGGGACACCACACGGACACCACTGACCATACACCAGCCCTTCCAGCTGCTTCTGGACACAGGGCAAGGGAAGCACTGTGCCTGAGATAGCAACAAAGAGGAAGCAGATTACTGAGACCAGAAGGGAAGCGAACTGTCGGCCAATCCATGACTCTCTCTCCTCAGAGCTGCAGAGGCAGGGACAAGCCAGCTCAGTGCAGACCCTAGCAATGCTCACACGGGTCCTGGGGGCACAGGGACTTTGCACTTCTACAGGAGAAGCCCTGGGCAGGGCAGCAGTCATTCAGGTCTCTGAGGAGTGCCTCTGGGCAGAGCTGGGTGAGGAGACAGGAAGCAGTATCACAATGAAGCCCAGGCCTCCCCAGTCAGGACCAAGGGGTCTAAGGTTAGGAACTGCCACAGGGAGATCATGTGGCTGCAGGGACCATGTCACCTGGCATCTGGGGGACTTTCCACCCAAGAATGGGCTATGGGCCTGGCTCTGGGGTTGCATGAGGGACTCTGACATCAAAAAGCAGTGGATAAAATAGCAGAATAGGATGCCAGGGTCCTACACAGGCCAGCAGGCTACACGGTTATCCTGGATCCCAGCCCCAGCTCTGCTGTCTCTCAGGGGTAAAGGTGAGAAACACCTGCCTGCAAGGTGGCCTGGCCCCTCCCAGGTCCAGGGACGGAGGAGGGACTGCAGTCAGTGTGAAGCTGAGGAGTGAGCTCCCCTCCTCCTCCTCCCTCTCCGTTAGTGGGTTAGCGCTATCTTGCTTCTACAGGGCAGAGTGTAGCTGACGGACAAGGAACCGTTCAGCAGCTTTCTTTGCCACCTCCTGGGAGGTGGAGTTGCCAACCTGGCACAGAACAGGTGCGAAACATTGTCAAATGTTAGATCCCTCTACCGTTGCTTCTCCTACCTAAGGGGCCTCCACACTGGTCCTTGCCAAGCTGACCTGGGCAAGGGGTTCCCCAGCAGCATGGACCTTCAGAGGCCCCTGTCAGTGGCACAGCAGAAGTGCCCACACCCTGGGGAGAGACCAGGCATGAATGGGCTAGCACAGTGTCTGTCCCTTCAAAGGACTCCATCTGTCCTCTTGCAGCCTCCAGTCTGGACACCCTCTCCCGGATCACCTCGGGCTGTTAGGCTGGGGCCCCACTGACAGTGAGAACCAGGTGTCCTAGGGTCTTTGGGGACACCAGAGGGGTGGGTGTCCTGGGGCCTCAGATTATCATGCAAGGTCAGCCCAGCTTCCCAGGGGATGCAGGGCAGCCTGCTTGCAGCCAGAGAAGGAAACTAAAGGGCTCGAAATTGTTCTGTGCCGGTGGGGTGGGAGTGGGGCGAACTGCCTTGTTTCCCGGGTCTCTGCACACAGTCACTGTCCTACCGCCCACCCCCCAGACCCTTCAGGCGCCCCTCACCTCCGCGATGGCAGTCGCAGCGCAAGGTGTCTGGCCACTCACGTCTCAGGCAGAGAGACTAAGACACCGTCTCCCAGGTCCACTGGAATGGTGGGATGCTCTCCAGCCCGCTGCGGGATCCAGGAAGCCCGTCCAGCGCCCTGCCGCAGCAAGGTTTCCAGATGTTGGGCTAGCGTCCCTCCAGCTGCGCCCAAGTCTTTGCTCTGGGTCCAGCCCTCAGGCGCGTGGTCACCTGCTGGGCGGCGCAGGTGGCGGAGGGCAGAGCCGCCAGCGCTGCCCCAGACTCCGCCGGCAGCTGAGCTGCACCCAACATAAACCCTGCGCACCCCGGTCTCCCACGCCCACCCCGGCGCGCGCTCTCCACCCTCCCAGACCCCGGATTCCTCATCCACCACGAGTGCAAGCAGACACACCTTCCTTAAGCTCTCCCCAGACTCCCTCCCATGCACGTGGCTGTGTCACCCTGGAGCTCCCAGCCCTGGAGGAGACTCGCAGAGAGTGGGCTGCAGCGGGGACACAGTCTCGCTGCGAATGGGGTCAGGCAGAGGGCGCCTCCAGGGCAAAAGCTAGGGGCTGGAGAAAAAAGGGTAGACTCCAGGGAGCGAAGGAGGTGGCTTCCAGGGTGCGGATAAAACAGGCAGCGCTCCTGAGCGCTGGAAAGGGCCCCAAGACGGGGGCGGGGGGGGGGGGGGGGGGGGGAGTGTGCTATGAGAATTGTATGGTGGCTTCCTTTTTTTTTTAAGATTTTATTTATTTTTTATACAAAATAATTTTGTTTAAATTTTTTATATTTTAATAATTTTATTGAGAAAGAAGTAGCAATGAGAGTTTCAAAACAGGTTAGTAGGACAGTTACAAAAATTAATACATTGCATATTGTTGTCTTTGTAGTAGTTGTTCCTAGCACAAGATGTAGACATGATATCTTGCCTGAACACTATTAGTTCAAAACCTTCTTCTCATTGAACTAAGATAAAGTAGCTATATATTTATGCTATTTTGTATATACAGATATATATTTTTTCCACTACAAAATGGTCCATTTATATCCCCTTTTTTCTTTACTTTTGTCATGGATGTGCATTCCATTGCCATTCATATATTGTAGGTGCATGAATTCGGCAGAGTAATCCAAGCAACTGCACTGAAGATAGCAAAGTGTATTACTAGACTCATGCTTGGAGTGCCTGTCATTCTGGTCTTCTAAATACACACTGCTTGTCATGTCAAACCAATTACTGCCATACTGTCTCTCAAGTAAACGTTTGTTTTTTTAAAAAAGGGGGGTAATGAACGAAAACAAGAGACAAAAAAAGTCATAGGACTGTCCTACTACAATACTGTATATGATTAGATTTCTAAATTTCTGTGTAAAAATATGTAATTGTTATTCCTATTTTTAAAATACTTTTTCTATTTATTTTTCTTTTTTTCTTCACATTCTGTAGGGATTTAAAGTTTAACATATCAATACTTGGTGGCTTCCTTTGGAGTCAGTGAAAACAGAGCAACAGCGCTGGTCCTATTTCCATGACGCTACCAGCAGTGCTGCCTCCCCAAGGCGCCATGATAAAACTCCCAGAGTTCTTGGCAGGCCACCTGAGAGTGACCACCTGAATCCATTTCCAGGCACCTGCCAAACACCATACACAGCTCCCTCATACTACACAGCGCTCGGTGGTTCCCCACAAAAGCGCCCCCCACATCCTGGGCAGGGACCTTTTCTGAAACTCAGCTATGTTTAGCGTGCATGCTCCAGGTTTTACCTACTTTAATTGGAATCAGCTCACCTGGCCAAACAGTGGGCATTTTTGCTCATTTTACTAAAGCAGCACATCGATGACAGGGTAACCTCCCTGGAGTCACTCAGGGACTGCCAAGTGGGAGCAAAGAACCTGGCTGCCACCCTCTCCAAAGACTAGGCTCCAGCTGCTGTCACCTCTTCTAGGGACAGCTATAAAGTCCTGGTCTGCTGGCAACCCCTGCAGTCTGCCACACAGACATACTTAGGAAAAGTGTCCAGGGCTCCCAGGCCTTTGTCCCAGCCAAGGAGCTGAGAGGGTATCACACCAGCGAGGGCTCCCATGCCAGGAATAAGCACCTGCTCCTATTCCTTGTGCTCAGTGCGAGGTGTGATTATGCCACTTCACAGTTGAGAAAACTGAGCCCTGCAGAAGTGGTGTGACTGTCCAGCCACCCAACCTGGAGGTGGAAGAGTTGTGTGTGAGTCCAATGTCAGAGCTCTTTCTGAGGGGCTGGGGAGATAGCTCTTCAGTCTTACACCTGCCCAGGCAAGTGTAAGGATCCAGGTTCAATCCCTGGTACTGCATGCCCCACGCCAAGCCAGCCACTGAAATTGGGCATGGTGGAGTACACCTGCAATTCCAGCGCTGCGAGGCTGAAAAGGGAGGATCACTATGAGTCCAAGATGCATAGTGAACCCTTTACCAAATACATAAATAATTTTTTTAAAAAAAGAAGCTCCTTCTGAGTGGGTCAGGGTGCTCCTCAGGGCAAATGTCCTAGTAGGACTGCCATCCCCTACTGGCAGCAGGACCCCTAGTTTCCGCGGGTGCAGGAAACAGCACCCTCTAGCGGCAACAGGCTTGGCACAAAGCACAGCTGACTGGAACACCTGAAGGTCCCCAAGCAGGCAGAACTCATGGGGAGAAATCTGGATGGCCCTGCCCCAGTCTCTGGAGGCAGGGGCAGGCACATTCTGCGGTCTCTGGGGCAGGGCTGTTCAGCATGTTCCTCCTGCTGTGAAAGTGACTGGCTGACCTGAAGATCTGCCCTCCTTAAGAGCTTGATGACAGCCTCCCTCCCTGCCCACACAGGAATGTCAGAGAAATCACCCCGAATCTAACAAGAGCGTCCCACCCTCAAGTGTGCTCTACCCGTGACCCCTCTGTAACCTCTCAGTCCACTCAAGGGCAGGATGCTCCCTGGTGCAATGCGGAAGCCAGGGTCAGGGTGGGCTCCAAGCACCCTCCTAGCTAGAACAGCCCTGGGATTTGCAGTTAGGGCCCCCACAGCTGCTGTCACCGTGAGAGCCAGTGCTAGGAGTAGCCTCAGATCCTGCCACACAGTGAAGCCACGTGACCAGCCATGTTGGGAGGAGGAGTGAATGAGAGGTGAGAGGGCAGCCCCTCCGGGTGCAGTAGCAGCTGGTGGGGCCACCTACAGAGCTGTGCCTATGCCCTCCCAGGCCCCAGCCTGAAGAGTGAGCAACCCCTGGTGTGTCTCCTTCACGCTGACTCACCTGAACTCACTCCGTGCAGTCCTGAGAGGCCCTGCAATCTCAGCCATGATGAGCTCCTAAGTCCCTGGCCCCTCTGAGCGACTACCTTGAAGATAACAAGGTGCAGTGTAATAACCATTGTTAATTTCCCTTCATCTTGTTTTAAAATTCTGTGTCATTTTATTGGGCATTTTTTCCTCTCTTTAAAAGAAAAAAAAATCCCTGGCCCTGTTTTTCCCAAGTCCTCTAGTGCTTCCACCCCAGACTCATTCACCACTTACGCTTTTTAGGGAATCTCATCAAGTTGAACACGCCCAGACCTGTTGTTCATGGAGCTCTTTTCCACATGAAAAGCTTCCACCTGTTCTTGGGAAGCCTGAACTCTTGTGAAATGCCCCCACTGCCAGCCCCCTGCACACACACCTGCTCATTCTAAGGGAAGCCACTGAGTAGAGCCACACACTTTAAACTCCCGTGCATAAAGCAGCGGCTTTGCCCTGAAAGATATAACACAGGAAAGCCACAACAGCTATGCAGAGAGGCAGCAACCTTCCTGTACTCAATGAGCAGAGAAAGAGCTCCCTCCACGCTTAAAAATCTCAGCTGCACAAAGGCAAAAGGACGGGATGTACAAGTAAAATCACCAACCTCAAAAAAAAAAAAAAAAAACTTACATAGAATAGAAAAGAATATTAGATCAAAATTTCCAATTAATCCCTAGATTAAATTTTCTGCATCTACACAACATAGATCACCATGAAATAAAAGAAGTCATGAAAGCAAGAAAGAACTCCTTAAAAAGTAGACATATTTCACTGACCTTATCAGACCCAAAAGCCACAACTCTTGTTGCATAGGTACTGCTTTACCTTGGTCTTAACCATCCAGCAGAAAAGTATAAAAATGAAATATAAGAAGTAAAGCCATGCTGTTATGTTGAGCTGTAGGGCACTCAGGTCAACAATTTCTGACACTGCCAGTCAAGCGGAAGACCCAATACTATTATGGACTACTGGACTCTTTTAGAATACTTCGTTGAGTTTATACACCTATAATATTCAATAACGGAACATAGAAAAAATGGGGTATACAGATGAATGTCCATTTTGTATCTGTGTATTCAAAGTGGTTAGGATAGATATATAGTTACATTCTCTTAATGAATAGAGGGATTTGTTCTAATGGTGTTTGTAAATAGGATATCATGTCTGCATCTTGAACAGCAATTAACCACTAGGAAGAATGTATGCAATGTGTTAATTATTTAAACTGTCCTACCAATTTGGTTTGAAACTGTCTCATTGCTATTTGTTTCTCAATAAAATTATGGGGGAAAAGTAGACATATTATTGCTGAAATTTAGAAGCATTCCTTGGAAGGGATGAGAGAATGAGATTAGGAAATGCTCCTAATCTAGAGCAACTCCACAAGATGGAAAACCTCAGGACAAAAATAAGAGACATAGATGAGACACACGAATGATCCCTCACTCAATTAACAAAATTTCCAGGTAGGGAGAACCAGGAAAATGAAAGATAGAGAACTGGTCACAGTCCAGGCAGGAAATAGAATTCATCCTGAAGAGGCCAGTGAAAGGAACTTAGTGGAAAAGTAACTTGTAGAGGTGTGGACATGGTTAAGGGAATTAAGCAAGAAAGAGTGAGGCACCCAGCCATGGAAAAAAGGAAGACTCAGTAACGTCCCTGCGTTAAAGGAGTACAACCAGAAGGGCCCAAAAGCAGGGGCTGAGCGGGCAATGTGTGTCAACGGCCCTGGCCTGGGACAGAGGGCAAATAGGACAGACACCCACCCACCTTGCTCTCTCCACTTCATGTCTTCTGTGGGCTCCTTCCACTGACCATGCCCACCTGGAATTCACCAGTCAGGGAGCCCCTTAGCCTTCACGGACACAGGGAAGAGCAGAGGAGGACAGTGGA